GACTTGACTAAGTACTTGTGGCGACTTGGCGATGACTTGACAATGACTTGACTAAGTCCCGTGAATGACTTGATAATGACTTGACTAAGTCCCGTGGATGACTTGAGCATCACTTGAGGCGACTTGACTAGGTACCTCGGCAAGTGCTGCCTTGAAGATCTCCTCGACTTCTTTGTCCTTCTTAAAGTCCTTCCAAGACACCAGTACCTCCTTCAAGTCGACATGCTGAGCTACGTGAAGTCCCAAAGATGCGACTGCCATTAACTTACCGCACTTCAAAGACAACTACCCACAGGTTATCTTAAGTTCTTGAGCAATGACATAGTCCTCGCTTATGTCCTTCTGCAGCGCCTCCACGTCGTCTATGGGCAGTGCAAGTCCAAGCAGTTTAGTGGCCAGCTTAATAGCGGAGTCTGCTACGGCGTTCGTGGTCTTACTTGCAAGGGCGGCTTCGTATCTCTTATGGAACTTCTTGACCTCCTCCTCTGACAACTTATTAACCTGCTCATGGTTGAGGTCCTTACCTATCATTTCCTTACACTTCCCCGAAGACACAAGGATGTTAAGTTGCTCCTTAAGGTTACTCTCATCCAATTGCGCGGGGACTTCATCTAACAACTGCTCAATGTTCATATACATTAGGAATTATAGATTCCAACCGTGTAGGGAAACCTCAACACGCCGGGTCAGCTGGCATAAAAAATCGGACATTTAGGTACCGCGATCATGCTGCAAACGGTCAGCGGCATTCTTAAAAAGTATAATGGCGGCTTGCAATAATAATTTTACAGTGGAAAAAAGTTTTAGAAGACGTTTTAGCAGAATCTGGTTCAGAAGGCAGCGAAGAAGAATCACCTAGTCTCGAGGAGGTATTAAGAAGCTCTGTGAAGAATTTTTATCCTCTTAGATCTTCGGTAGATTCATTCAACGCTTTCCAAGACGAAGCTAGCGAAGTACTTAGGGAAGTTTACAGACGCCATCAGGTTGGACTGTTAGACGAACAGGACAAACTCTTGAATAAAACTATCAGTGTAAGACCTGCAGTTGCTTCCGAGATCAGTTTGTGGCTTAAGTCCATCAAGAGACGAATGACAGGATCACCGAAAGCCAAAAACTCCTGGTCAATTGAACTAAGACGTGGGTTGCCAAAACAAATATTTACAATCATCATCGAGGCTTGCTCAAAATCTTCTACGAATTTTGGTATAACAGTARAGTCTTCTGTACTCAAATTCAATCACAAGAAGCGCTTAATTCGTGATTTTTCGAAATTATCTGGGATCAGCGCTACTGAAGTTAAAGATATGCTGCAAAAGACATTTAAAGGCAGGCGAAGGGATGCAAAGCAGAACTTTTGGTGAACAGTGAGAAGCCTTTCATTTTAACTTACGATGAAAGAAACTCGAAAATAGTTATCAAGTGCCATTATGGATACTGATTCACCAGACTATAATAAGACATTTTATTTTATTTGTTATTATTATCATTATTTTCTTCAAAATACTTCAATATGCAACATAGATTACATTATTATTGTCATCAGTTTATTTGATTTTCTTAGACCAGCCAAGTACAATCTATGTAAGTATATGATCATGTGTAAACACTAGAGTGCTTGCACTAAACCAT